TTATTTAAAATTATTAAAATTCTGTGATTTTTTGGGGGGCAGGACTTCCTTAGTTTAGTACATATTTCATTTTAACTCTTTGCCACTTAGACCTGAACGTTGAGTTATATTAATGGCTTTCTTTCAAAAGATTAACTCCTCCTTTACTCTGCTGCTCCCCAGCTAGCTTCTGGTTCGGAGATACTACAAGTTCAGTGGTATTTGTAGAAACAGTATTGAAATGGCAGGCCCTCCACTGCTAAATACAGGAAGATTTTGGGGAAATTTGTTACCTAGTTAATCTCCTGCCTTTAGGAAGTGCAGAATATTATCTAGTGAACAGCAGTGGAGAGTAATTCACATGGTCATAATGGCTTCTGCATTCCTGAGGTTAAGATATAACTCATAACTCTGTGAAGCAAGTTGGAGTGGAGAGATGCACTGCAGAAATCAATAAATAATGACGGTTAGACTAAGAATAAACACTTCACTAAAGTAGAAGTCTTGACACCTGAAATTACTGTCTTACTGGTTTAGAAAATGCTCTCATAATTCTCCAAGTGCATTTTTTTTGCATCATCTGTTATATTTATGGCTTTATTTTATTTAATAATTTTTTTCCCAAAACAGTGATGTTGCAGTCATTATGTATAAAAAGCAGACCAACCTTTACCAAACAAGCTTTTATTTCAGAATCTCAGTAACTAAGAATAATATGTATTTACCACATAGAAGATTTTTATTTCTGAAGATAATGTAGAGACCCCCATTTGTATTTTAAAAACTTGTGCAAGGATAAGACCTAGAAAAGCAGGTTAGACAATCTATGAAATTCCCATTCTAAAGTTAAATGACAATGATGCTGTCAAAGCAGTGAACATTTGAACAAAATAGTGACCTGGCCAAAGCGACAGAGACAGCGCTACTCTTTTATGAATCAGTCAGATTTCAGGCCGCTTTGCAAAGCCTGGTGGACAGCAGTGTGCCCAAGGTCACTGAGCAAACTTTGCAACGTGCAGAACATGTTCGCTGTCCCCAAACTCTGTTTTAATCTCAGCTGGTAAACACACTTCTGTCTCCCCTCTTTTCTACATCGCTGGCTTTTGCACAGGAATTTGCAGAGCAGGAATAATGCCTCACAGGGGGAGTAACACCCCCCAGGAGCACCAGTGGTACCATTTTAAAGCCACAACATACCCCAGTCTTTCATCCTTACCAAATGGTTAAGAGACTGGAGCTTTATGGTAACTTTGGGTTTCTGAACAGGCCTAGAACTTGAGGGTCGTATGGCACTATTAAGGGCCACATCCCCCTGAAATGCACAGAAAGCTCAGCAGCAGCTCCTTGGTTTTGCTGCTGCTGACACTGACCTGAACTCAGCTGTTGCGTGGGCCATTAAGGTGTCTATTTCTTCCTTTCCTTCAATCTCCTCAGTATGAACCTGAAAATAAATAATGCAAGCAAGGCTAATTACTAATCTGGAATTATTTGGGAAGACTCTACTACTTCTTCAGGGTATCAAACTACTTTGAGTAAATTTCCTAGGTAACCACTACCAGATTTCGCTGCTGTGCCTCGCCAGGGGGATCACCACCTTTGTCCTCATGCTTAACCATGATCTGCTGGTACAGCTGGAACATCTCTGATATCATGTTCAAACCCAGTTCTCCAGGCTGGTTGCATTGCACTAGAGAAGAGACCACTATTTGAGATCTCACAGTAATTGGTATGTGGAAGCCATTCAGCGTAGGGTATGATTACTGTGGAGCTGAACTAACTGTAAAGAGTGGGCAAAGTATTTTAAAACATTAGAGCTTGACTTGAATTCATTATGGCAATCATATCCTTCAATATGTTTCCCTATAAAGACTATTTGCATCTATTCCACTACGATTTTAATCATTGACACTCATTTCTTGCTGCCTTCGGGACTTTCGTTTTTTCTATGCCCGCCAGACTGTGGGTAATTTTATGTATGTATGAGATTTAGGACCTGTATTGTCTTTGCATTAGTTTAACACTGAGCTGGAGCTGTGCTAAGGAATGAAATGCCATTTATTACATAGCATTATGTAAAAACATATAATCAAAGTGTTCCTTTGTTCAGCTTCATTTCCATAGCCTAATATTAAACACAGGAGGACTTTTGGCCAGGAAGGCAGTTCAATGTCTACATTAAACTAAAGCCTGTTGAGAACAGCTTTCCCACAGCAGCGATCTGTCACTTTGCCATTTGGTCTCCTTCCCTCCTGTCTTGATTTTTGGCTGAAATACTTTTGCATATTCTTTCATACTGTGGAGCATGCATTTCTGTTCAATCTATTTCATTCAGACCACCTCACGTTAGCTTCACTGTGATTGGCAACGTCATTCATTTCATTTAGTAATTCCTGGGGCAAACAATTGCTTATTGATACGCTGCCAAGGTTGTATTTCTCTCATGTTCTGGCCGGATCTAGAGGACATCATCTCCTATTCCCTCTTCCTTCTTATTTTAAACCACACCGCCCAAAGTTACCTACTTTGACACCAGTGGAAAATGGGTGTGCGCTTGGGCTATGTTGGTAAGGATCTGCCACCATGCGTGTGTGACTGATCTAAGTAAAGCAAGCTTGTGTTTTCACTCTTCTCCGAGCACGCCAGATGGTGGGCACACTCTTAACTACGGTTGCATTTTAGGTGTTGGAGCTGAGCTCTGCCCCAAGAGGTACCAGTGGTGGCTCATGTTGCCTTCAGCGTTCAGCACGGAGCCTGGGGCAGTCCCTGGCTCTAGCGCAACACATCCCAGGCAGCTTTGTCCCACATCTCTGCCTGTTTGTCTCTGTGGAGAGGCCTGGCTCCCCGATGTTAAGGAACAGGCAGCCCGGGATCACAAGGTGAGGCCCTGCGGACAAGCGTCTCTCCCGCAGCACTAGAGATGTCCTGACCTTTGGCGAGAAGGCGCCAGTCGCGGG